TAAACATGCCGATGTAGATTCTCACATATTCGCAGCCCACTTGATGGTTTGACGTGGATTCTCAGATCCATTGAAGATTTGGACCTTGAAGGTGTAACTTGGCGCTGTCAGCATTTGCTGGAACAGTGCGAAGATTGTAAGTGGTAGAGCGAGAATCGACGATTTCGCATTCATCATCGGGGTCGATGAGAGGAAGGATTGGTTTGTCGCGCAGCTTAGACTCGAAGCTGGTGTACGCGTCTTTGGCAATCTTCATGTGAGGAATAGGTTGAGGGTAGCTGAAAGCTATTGTGTTTGTTAAAAAAATGCACAACGCTAAAAGCTAGTGTAAAAATGCAATACACGGCTCTTAGCCTATTCGCGACTCGATCCTAGATAGGATTGCTGAGTTCGACTCATGACTGAGTCTTTCGTGAATAGTCATTGAGACAAGGGTTCTCAGACCGCTGTCATACAAGGTCGAGGTGAAAACATCGCGCTACGATGTACTGGCGGCGGAAGAGTCCACGCTAACTAGAAAAAATGCAGAGCGAACTTCCAACCGTCCTTGGATCGTGGAGTGAGTAGGATTGCTACCGCAACCTACTCTATCACACTTTACAGTCTCCCGTGGGAGTTCAGATCTACGATCCTTTGATTGTGGATCTCTCTCGTTGATTAGTTTTCATAGCTTTTTCTAATCTCTCTCATAACCTTTCATTCTCTCAAACTCAAAACACTCGAAAGATCTTTACACTAGCTTTTAGCGTAGTGCACTTGCGTGAAACTAATGGCTAGTTTCACGCAGTGTTTCACGCAGTCGCTACCGTAGGTTCACGCACTGTTTCACGCAGTTTCACGCGACGTGAAACTAGTCGTAGTTTCACGCAAGCCTGCGTGAAACTATGTTCAGTCGTGCGTGAAATATTGCTCTGTCTGTAGTATTCACGAGTAAAACTTTGCTAGAAACTAGCCGTTTCTCTGCGTGAAACTAGCCGATTTTCTGCGTGAAACTACCTAGTTTCACGCAGAGAAAAGCGCTCCGCGAAACTACAACTAGTAGTTTCACGCAGCCTTCATTAAATAACAGTTCTCCTCTGAAACCCGTTTCCGCACCCTGCCGGTACCTGGTACTGCTGTAGCGACAGGAGGTAGAGAGCACTATATACAGCCTGTGCATATGAACAGGATTTTTCGAGAGCCAGCCTGCATTCAAATTTTGGCCTGACAGGCGACGCGATTCCTGTGCAATTGTACAGGCGACGTGATTCCTGTGCAATTGTACAGGATCGACGTGATTCCTGTGCAATTGTACAGGATCCGACCTCCTGTTCAATTGCACAGGAAATTGGACGTGCTTCTGCATGCTGGTTGAAGGCAGCAATATCTTTTGATTTCCCGAAACCCCTGAGTCGTACAACAAAGCCAGAAGCACGACAAGCGTTGCCAAAATATGGTGCAAGCGTTTTAGTGCGAAACTCAGCAGTATTGGTAGAGAATTCCTTTGGGAGCCAGTGCACAATAGCAGTGTTGGGCTCCGATCAGTTGCGAGTATTGTGACCGAGTGTTGGAATAAGATTGATTTCCTTTCTGTCTCCATCGTCTTTGAGAGAGCCAGCTACTTGAATGATTAAGGGTGAAGACGTCCATACCTCAGCTGCGAGATAGCAAGAGCGTTCCTCAATCGTGCATGAAACTGACCCTAAAATAGGGTCAGATTTAGGGTCGGATTCCCTTTAGGGTCGGGTTTCGAAATCGACCCTAAAATTAGGAAGGTTTCTGAAAAACTGTCCCTAATTTAGGGTCGGGTTACGATTTAGGGTCGGATATGAAAAACGTTCCTATATTTAGGGACGGATTCCCCCAAACCGACCCTAAATTAGGGTCGGATTTAAAGTCATGCACGATTGAGGAACGCTCCAGAGGAGAGTTGATCATCAGCTTGACTGGTGTTGAGCAGCAGCACGCCTGGGGAACCCCCCCGTCCGAGTTTCCACGCCCCGCGGCGTGGAAACTTGAACCCTAATGGGTTCTCGCAACTATGACCCTAATCATGGTTGCCGAGAGGACCATCTCACTATTTGCAAAATTTATTCCCGTGCTCCTCACCTACAACTCAAGTACATCTCTACATCTCGCAGGTCATCACCTGCGTTCCGGAAATGGATACCCCACATGATGATGCACCGCATCAGCTCCTCAATGCCTCTCGAACAAGATTACCCCTTAAGGCAACGACGCCCGTCCAAGACCACATTTGGCAAGATCGACAGCGGCAACCATGAATCACTAAAGCCAGCGACCTAGCCAAGACCAGCCATTGAACCGCCGATCGCAAGAAGATTGTCTCTCTCTCAGCTCACAATTCTTCATTCAGCCGACGCTGAAGGCAAGAACCTAGATTAGATTAACCCACCTCTCCCTCCCTGGTTGCACGACTCAAGGCTGTCCCGTGGAACATCACATTCCCGGGACTCCCTTTTGCCGTGTGGGATCCATCCGGGACTCCCCAGTCCCGAATGGTACCCCGGGGACTGGAGACGGTCGGCTCAGTAAATGCCGAGTCTCTCCACTCACCTAATCTCTACTAGTCGTGTCTAGCTGCTCTGGGCGAGCGCAGCTTGTCTGCGCTCGAACGCAGAGGACATGCTTGACTGTAATGCTGAACGTGCTGGCAGATCTATGTGTTACTGTTGAGTAATGAGAAAGCCTACCCAGAAGAAAACGTCACAATTCCTGTGCATTTGAACAGGACGTCGAGCTCCTGTATATATGTACAGCCTCCTGTACATATGAACAGGCAGGCCCTGTGCAACTGAACAGGCGTCGCTATCCGTTCATTGCACAGGAAATGGACGTTTTTGAATTCAGGCAAAAAAATGGCTGGCCTTGCTCTAATCTGCGGGCTCCTCCCTGTTCATATGCACAGGCTGTATGTAGTGCTCTCTACCCCCTGTCATAGTGGACTAGTACATGCAGATGGGAGAGTTCATGTTTTCTAGTTTTCGTTTGTCACAAGTCACAAAGCGTCCCACCTCATCTTTTCCCACTTCCCAACCTTTTAGCTTGATTTTGCCCACCAGCAACTTCAGAAGGACTTATTAGTGGTCAACCACAATGAAATAGACTGCAATGCAACGAAATAAGGACCATCGGCTGGATCTTTCCTTGTGTGAGATTCCAGAAGCCAATCGGCGGTCAAAGCATGCAGCAACCAGGGGTTCAAGTAGGTTCAAGGTTCATGAGTTCATGATGTATCCTCGATCCTCGCTCGACGATAACTTTTTAAAAGTTAGTACTCACTCCGATAGTGCTGTTGTGCTGCCTGAAGTGAAGCCTGAAGCTACCCAGCTACTCTGAACTCTGAGTACATACCCACTACCCACAAGACACAAGGAGCGATAATGCAATTGCGAAGGTTGAACTAAGTACATGTAACTGAGCTGCTCAACTCGCCTCAGGTTGTAACAAACTGGCTCTTCCTTGGGTTCAGCTAGTTCTGATGAACAAATCATGCGCCCCGAAGCAATATCCTCGTGGTGGTCATTTAGAATGTGTTCATAATGATATCGCCTCATCTTCCGGCCAGTACCGTCTTCTGCACCAAGGGAAACTATTAATAGTCTATGTCTTACTCGAACTCCTGACGGGTGCGAAGTGCGCCAAATGAGCTGCCAAATGTACTTGATCTTGTTGCAAAGTAGCCTGCCATTATTGTAGTTTCACCTCGCATCAATAGTATTATCAATTATCAATTACCATTACATATTATACCGGTATGTAGTAATGTACGCTATGTAGGATGGGCTCAGGTCAGCTGCCTAAATGCCGTTCTGCAATCCGCAACGTGCCCTACTGTACTAGTCTCCTAGAATTCTGGCTTGCTTGGTCCGAAGTCCGAAGTATCATTAATCATTATTGATGTGAGGTGTGAAGCTGGTGTGAGGGATCACGGATACAAATGTCATGTACCGGTGCATGTACCGGTACCAGGTACAAGATATGAGGCAGCCAATACCGTGTTCCGCCGATACGTTTTGCACGTCTTGGCCTATTTCAGTGCCGTGCCGGGGGGCCAGCTAGTAGCTCCTGAGACAAAGCAATACAGTAAAACAATACGGTGCGATGCTGTACTCATCAGTAGCATCACAGCAGCCCGGATGCAACTTGGTACTTGGTACGCTACGATTGTAGTCAGAGATCAGAGAGACAGATGGCATGATGCAGGCAATGTCAAGTGCAAGGGGAGAGTTGCCTTGCTTCTGCCTCCAGCTGGTTCTAGACTACTTGCGCAACTATTTAATAATAACCAAGTAAAAAGTAGCACGTACGAGTAGCAAGTACATGTAGCAGTCCATGGTCCTGCAGCCAGTAGAAATACCGTGCCAGGTGCCAGAAAATAAATCATCTTTGAGTTGCTTCCTTTTTTGCAGGTAGATTCTTTTACAGGAACTGCGGGACTGGTTGTCAATTAGTCCAAGTTTCCCCTTTTGAAAACAGCTGTCTTTACATTGAATTTTACTGTAAGGACCCTTTGTTCCAGCAGACTCCGCGACACAATAATTACTAAAAGGGTGACCTTTGGAAGCTCCTGCAGCCTGGGAAGAGGGAAAAAGAGACCGTGGCGCTCCAAACCAAGACCGGATTGGACATGCTTTGACCATCTTTGACCATAAAAGTCCGACTTTCAAGCTAAACTGTCACTTTCGCCACAATTGACCATGGTCAAGTGTGGTCAGCCGTGGTCACTCGTGGTCAAGTGTGGTCAGCCGTGGTCAACCGTGGTCAGCCTCGGTCTTTTACTAGTTGATTACTAGTGAAAATTGTGGTGAAGCGTGGTCAAGTGTGGTCATGCGTGGTCAGGGGTGGTCAATCGTGGTCAGGCGTGGTCAACCGTGGTCGATAAAACAACCAAGCCAATTCCGCCTTTCTAAACTTGGACACATTTTGACCTCTTTAGACAATCAATAGCCCTCATTAGCCATTCGAGGGACCACGAAAAGAACCATTTTCCCTCTTCCCTGCAGAACTCATTGGATAACCGAAGAAATATGGCAATCGTTCACAATTTCGTTTGGGGCAAGGGTACCAAGTGTACCGGTGCAAAAGACATGGTTCAAGGCTTCCCCTTCAAGACTTCAAGAGTGCGAGGACCTGCATTGCCAACAGCGGCGACAGAGGTCGCGGACAAGCTGCGGACTCGATTCATAATAATATTGAATGCAAACCAATACGCTTCCGCCATCCTCTGGTGAGCGCTGCGTGACACTTGCGCACATTATCAAGTCCACCACCATCAAGGCATTATCTGCTACCCCTGCCACCTCTACTGACCACCAGGAAAGCATGAACACAACCGGATACCCCACATCAAAAGAAACTTCCATGGGCGATATTCCCTATAGACGCCAGCGACGACCGCGAAGCCGGTTGCTTCATGGCACCGGTTTATCCCTGCTGCTTCTCATTGGTGGGCTACCGTTGGATACCCCAGTGCTGGCCACTTCGCCACCGGGTACAGTTCCCTGTGACAATCAAGTTGACAGCGCTACCTGCACATCCGCAGTGGGTCCTGGGTCGGAGTGTATCAATGGACTCTGCAGTAATCCATTTGTCAGTGGATGCTTACGTGCCCTGCTAGGCCAGGATACCCAACCTCCAAACGCTAGCGATGATAATGCCTCGGATAGCTCCTCAAATGACAGTAATATTGAGAGTGGTGAAGCTCAAACAGCCGATCCCCAACGCACGCTGCGAGTTTGCAACTCCCAAGATGACGAGGAAACCATAGCCAACAATCTATGCATCCCTTCTCCCCTGGACTACATGGAAATCCGCATTCTTACGGGCAACTGGGAATCATCACTGCTGACTGCTTGGGCCATGCAGATTGTCCTCAGTGAATGGATGCAGGTACCAACCAGTATCGAGTCCTCGAGCCCAGACCGAATGGGCAACTTTTACCATCGCTACAATCAGTTCCAGTACGGGCAGACCGCATACGACTATAATGCTCTGGAAGTTGCCAATGAGGTGGGAGACTGTCGTTTCCTGGACAACGCGGATGTCAATGATGAACTCTTTCTACAGGTATCGGGATCACTGGTCGACCTTCCTGAAGATGATTCCGGTTACTTGCCCTGCGCTCACGTCATGCCTGAAGTTTGGAATGGACAAGCAGAGAATCTGTGGGAACTCACCAAACGACGCGCCATTGAAGCCCCGGAGGGGAACGGAGTGGTGGGCAAAATGACATGGTTCATACCCAAGTATGTGGCAGAAGCCCATCCTTCCTGGGCCCACTATTCGGGTTGGCTCAACCAAACGACCATTGCGTCCGTGTTCCATCAACCCCTCACATGGCTTTCATACTGCCAAATTGTGTCACCCGACATGTGCCAAACACCTGACCCTGTGGCCTCACGATTACCGACAGAGGACGAAGAGGGGTTCTTCTACGATGTAGCGGGTGACGGAGCAGGATTCAAAGGGTTCTTTTTGAAGACAGACGACAATCAGTGCCATGGCAACAATACACAGTGCAAAGGACATTTCACCGACTTTCCATGTGATTGGTCCTCCTTTGCCGTACCGCAAGCTTATCATCTGGGCATTGCAGTAGAGTCCAAAGGATTGGTGGGCCCTAATCGTGGATACACCTACGGAGAGAAACTGCAGATTTGGCAAGCAGCCAACGCTACAAAACAGAACGTGGTCATGAATTGGTATAGTCCAGATCCGACATATCAATGGTACAGGGGAACAGAGGCTGAATTCCAAGAAGTGCAGTTACCGCCGCCCTCTCCCAATTGCGTTCGACATCGAGTTTCCGTGGAAGAACGGTGCAGCGAGAACTTGGAGGACCGAGTGGGTGCTCCAGAAGGAGCTTGTGGAGCAGAAACGCAAACGTTGGAAAAAGTTGTCGTTCGAAATCTCTATGATACAATCTACCACCTCGATAAGGAGCACAAACAAAACAACCTCCGCCGAGGATCTAGTAGTTTGAAGGATGAATTCGATGAGGACACGAGGAAAGAAGAGTCCGCGAGGAGTCCAGCCTATGAGGCAGTCAAAAATTTCCACTTGAGTGAATTTGACATTGGCAAAATGTTTGAAGACTGGAAAGTCCGATTGAGAGAACGCGGTCACAACGGATACTCAACATTTGAAGGCACCACCGGTGCGGATCCTCGGCATGTAGTTTGCCAATGGGTAGCTGACAATGCCGAACACTTGCAAACATTTGTGCCCATCACCTACCCGCGAATCTTGAAAGAAGAAGACCCTTATAATGGCAATGCCGTGTCTTGGATTGCCGTGTCATTCGGGATATTTGTGACAATCTGCGTTGTTGGGATGGGCGCGCTTACCTACGCTCTGCGGAAAACAGAACCCTTCCTAGCAGCCCAGCTACCGTTCCTGTACATGGTATTGCTTGGTCTGTTGGTGATAAGTAGTGGTGGTATTTTGTATGCTCTACCACCAGGGAGTGGAACTTGCGTGGCACGCATTTGGCTGATTACAATGGGGTACACACTGGAAATGGTGAGTTTTTCTTCTTGTCTTTTCGCCTGTGTTTTGGCCCCGATTCTCACTCTACACTCGAAATGATGATTGAATAGGTGCCGCTGATTGTCAAGATAGGAGCCATCAGTAAGATGCTTCAGGCAGCAACGAAAATGCGACGTGTAACGATTAAACGAGAGCGCTTGTTTGGCGCCGTTGGAGGAATCTGTCTCGTGGTCGCTGTCTATTTGACAGCTTGGACTATTGTGGACGCTCCTACGAAAGGACGGCAATTGACTCTGCAGTTGGACGATTCTAGCGACGAAATCTACGAAGCAAATGATCCATCAAGGGCTTGGTGGCAGGTTCCCGCCACACCCATCAACGTCTCTCATTACTGTCGCTCGTCGGGCTCGTCTGCATGGTTTACGATCAGTCTCGTTTGGCAGTTTCTGCTCTTGCTCAGTGCCGCCATCCTGGCAATGCAAACCAGACGAATCCAAAAGCGATGGAACGAGTCGAGGTCGTTGGCAATAATGATCTACACTCAAGCTGGTTTTGTTATTTTGCGACTCCTGGTGTGGCTGCTCGAGGAACCGTCTGGAGTGTCCGCGCAGCTGTTGGACATGTTTCGTAGCTTTTTGTTCAGTTTGGATGCCCTCATGGCCCTTTGCATCTACTTTGGTTCCAAATTGGTCGCCGTCTATAAGCATATCGACTTCAACGATGGAGCACTGAGCTCGAGGGGGAGCAGACCATTCAGTACAGCTCTCACAACCGAAGACAGCAAGCGGCGCTTGGGCGTGGATGAGAGAAGCGCCTTCTACTCCGGCTTGACAGCTCCACTTGCAGCACGATACAGCCTGGAAAATGCGAAGACGGTCAGTCAGTACCTTGCCGCCATCGGACAACCAATTCAATCAACCTACATGAAACCATTTGAATCCAATCGTCAGTTGGCTATGGGGCCTACGTCATGTTACGCTGGAGACATTATCTTGTCAAAGGCATCATCAAAAAAGCTCTGTGCAGCTGCGGATACGCCTCAGATCTGCCCACATTGTAATAAGGGCTACCATGACGTTATTCAATCGACAAATGGATTGATAGTTGAACCCAAGGATGACATCGGGGTGGGCACTACTGGGTCGGGGCGCCGAAGTGAGCTGATGAGACTTATTCCAGTGTCCGAAGAGACTGAAGAAACCTATGAAGATTGCAAGGAATTGGGGTTGAATGTTCAGCCAAATGGAGATGAACGGCATCAACTCGTGCACGACGAGACAGAAGCAACCAAGGAAGAAACGGAAGCAACCGCTTCGGACGGGTCTCCGCTCACGTGCCCTGCCGGGAGATAGTTCCACGAGATACTAATTAGGGAGAAGAGTCGAGTCATATGGTTGCTTTTGCGGCCTCAGCCTCTGTCAACGTTTGATAGGCTTGGACTTGGAAGGAAGATTGCATCTAGCTAGACCAGTAGATGCTCTGTAAGTTATGTAAGAAAAGGATCAATCTGTATTGGTGCCGGTATCTACCCGGTAGCTAGCTATCTAGATATGGTTGTGATTGAAGTGTATCATCGACATTCCTCAATGTTGCGTTCAAATCATCCGCAAGTGCTCCGCACATTCAAAGGCGTACGAGTACATGTATGTACTGTCGGCATGGAAGACAACTTTGACGTTGAGGTAGATGCGGTAATATAGTCAAAAAAACTCACGTAAATGTAAAAAGAAAATGTAGCTTCTCCCTACGCTAGACTTACCCAACCTTTCCGTCCAAAGCTACCGGTTGTCAATGACGATACACATGCTACCGATTTGTACCAGGTATTGGCAAATAATACGTACGTACACGTTTAA